TCATGATCATGATCATCAATATCATCATTGTCATCAACATCATCATCATCATGATCATCATCATCATTGTCATCATCATCATGATAGCATTATCATTAGTATCATCATCTAACATTATCATAATCATCACCATTACTATCATGATCATCATCATGTTCATAATCATCATCATCATTGTTTACATGTCTTTTTAACTTCTCCCTTTGTCTTTATAGTAAATATTGAATTCTATCGTAATAATTGAAGACAGACCCCCTTATTCGTCCTAATGACGAATTAAAATCTAGTTTTCATTTAATTTTAATTTTTAATTTTGTATTACCGGAATTACGTATCATTATTGTTGTTTGTAATTATTTATGTATATGTATCAGGCATAAAAGTTCATTTCTATTCTGCCGTATCTCTATTTCCTTCTTTTCAAAGCGCACCGGGACTTTCTTTGTGTGAGTGATATGCGCTATACAAATAACGTTGATTATTTTTATTATATATAGCTGGAGCATGAGCCGTACTTAATTAATGACAAGTCACTGTGAATCGTCATTGTCACCACGTCGATAATCTGTTTTAGATTGATATCTTTCAATTTTCACAGAGCTGTTACTCCTCTGACATTCAATTAATTAAAACGAGGGGTTGTATTTTACAACCTCCAATTTGCAAGACTTGTGATTTTCTCTCATCATATACAAGGCCGTTTTACAAGTTACCACATTATGAAATATATATGCATATATATATTTATATATATATATATATATATATATATATATATATATATATATATAAACGAACCGATCGGGTCCACATGTTATGTCGTCATATTAACTGTGGCAAATTTCACCCCTGTTGGGCCCGTAAGTTCGAGAGAGGACCTAAAGCCGTCTGTCCTCTGGTTCCTCACTAACAAACATTAATGCTTTCTTTAATAGCAGTCGGGTAAAATGACCACCACCACCACTATAACAAAATGCAAAAATAAATCCCATGGTATACGCGTGTTATACTTTATAATTTATTGATATTACTGTTATTATTGCAATTCAGTATGGGCCACCAGCGCCAAAATCAAAATCAACTATATTTATTAATTGCAAAAGAAAGCCCTTCGTATATGTACTGGTTCACAATATTTATCTTACACTAGTCCGATATTTTACAAACTGAAAACCCGAACAGTATTCGACATAAATTCGCTACAACGTTTACTGATCATGTTTAAGTAAAATATAATTTTAATCTAAGTTTTAATACCTTTTTTAGGCTAGTCGAATATCTCGCCAAATTATCAGATATATATTTATTATGTAGTTGACAAGGGTTGAGATCGCGTCTGAGTGTCAAGTCGTGACGTTATGGCATTATTTCAATGCCATCCCCAATTCTAGGTTTTTTTTCACCAAATCATATACACGCAACACAACTCACGAGCAAGATGAACGCCAAACGGGCTCACAGATGATTATTATTTCATGCTGCCAGTCTCGGCTGTGAAATGTAATTGTTCTGTTAAGTGTGACATGGAAATCGGGTTATTCTTAATTAAGCCTCCTTCAGATATGACACAACAAAATTGAGGCGTTGTTTTACCTTTTTTCCCCCATATATTTAATATATATATGGGGGAAAAGAGTATATTATACCAGTATAATGTGTGTATATAACGATGTAGAATTTAATGCGCTTCAATACCGCAAGTCCTAGGCTTTAATTCTTGCGGCGATTCAGCGCGTCATATCTGAACAAGCCTAATAGCTAAATAAGTGAGGCAATAAACATGATTCAATTCATTTCAATTTAGTTTATTTCACATCTATTCAAAAATCTAAAATAACAATGATATTTCAATATTCATTCAGATTCAGATTCAGATTAATTTTATTGGTCCATTTGGAAATTCATTTGTTGGCGTTACATAGGCACATGAACAATATACAATAGAAAATAATATACGCGAATAGATAATATACAGTAGCAAATGTACAATGACAAATTACAAATTCATATGGAAACATGTACAATGACAAATTCATATGGAAACATGTACAATGACAAATAGTATAGTTATACATCGTCTGAGTCAAAATAAATTGATTTCGTCCTGTCTCCGACAAGAGGTGGCGCTTCACCACTTGCATCATCCACATTTGCTGAAACCATGGTAACAAAGGTGAATGAATTGATCTTTGCACATGCAATCATTTTCAACTCTTCATCTCCCATCGAATATACCATATTACCTCAATCGTTCATGTTTAGGTGAAATTCCTGACATATCAATTTCAAAGTTTCGGTTGCTTTAGATAAACAGCATATCTATTTAAAACTTGTGTTTAACTAAAATTGCTAACTCCAACAAAAAAAACGTTACGCTTTGGCTCAAAAATTTCTACCCAAAATTATGAAATGTTCAATAACCAAGCCCACATAACTAACAAGAAACATATTTCGATGTATTGAAGCCTTACGTCAAGAGTCATTGTCTCAGACTCTCTTAAACAATTCTGATAATTCCTTTCCCTTCTCCTCTCTCCTTTTTTTTGTGTGTGAAAACAATGAATAAGCGCCGCCAATGATTAAATGTAGCACTACTTAATGAGTTTATGAAATGCAAACATTGTTGAATTCACAGAATATCAAATGCACGCATAATAATCAATAATCAATAATTTCATCAAACCTACTAGAAGCATAATCACATATCAACTACTGCCGTATTTTCAGCATAGTGAAATAGTTATCAGTCCAGTTAAGTACTTTTAGCATAATGTGCTAATATACAATGCAATAACTTTCAGCAGTTTCACAAACATTTAGACACATATATGAAAACAAATAGTACTGTCCTTTGCTTTAGAATTGGATACATAATGTTATTTTGGTAAGGCATGTCTGAAATCATTTTAACCCCAATAATAATAACTTTTTCTTTTTACCGCTTTACCAGTTATAAAACACCGAAGCGCTTACAGTATTAATATTACCACGATCATTGGATTCAATTAATACTCCGCATGTTAAGGTGTACGTTCTCGTCTCCCTGGGGAGCATTCCAGCTCGTTGCCTTAAATGTTGTATCCTACAGGGCACCCATTTGATACCTGGGTGGAGAGGAGCAATGAAGATAAAATGTCTTGCTCAAGGACATAACAGCCGTGCCAGTGTTCGAACCCACGACCTTTCTATACCCGATCAAGAGATTGAACCACTCGACTACGTCACCTCTAAAAATCAAACGTTACATTTACTTTAGATCTCAGATAAAGAAAGATTAAATCAATCTACAAAACAATCATGAAAGTACATTTGTTCTCAATACAAAATCTGTACCTTCAAATATTCAAATGCCTTCGTCACCAACGTGACCCGAATCGACCTTTCTGACAGAATTGCCAAACAAACTACCGTTCGTCAAAATCTATTAATACAAAATATAATCTCAAACATTTGACAGAGAATGACTTTATCGTATCCTATATTATCAATAAGCATTATCATATTGAGTAATTATGAATCGCATTTGAACATGTATATAGAAAATGTGCTACATAAATACATTATTATATTAGTATTAGTGATAGTAGTAGTAGTAGTAGAAGTAGTAGTAGTAGTAGTAGTAGTAGTAGTAGGAGTAGTAATAGATACATGAAACACAGATGTATATTGCTTTCTAAAATTCAAGGTGCCTTTGCAAATATCTGTAAACTCTACTGGCCGTAGGCGTCTACTGAAACACCACAAGTCAGATTTGTCAACCACTTATCAATCTTTTTGCAGAATGATTCAGGGGGAAAAACAACTTTTGTATAACACTGCAAATGTACTTTTCGGATTTGCCACTTTCAGTGAGCATCTAAATCATGGGTCAAAGGGAAAGTTCACCCTGATAATAATTTGGGTTTTATTGAGTGGTTTTCATATGCATGTGAAATGCTCACAACAATTTATTTAACACCGTTTCTTTTTTTTCTTAACGAACTTTCTCCGGCTATTATTTAGTTTTACACATGATGGAGAAGTAGTTCTTTTTCCCACATTTAGCAAACGCTTTACCAAATTGCCAAGCATTTGTTGTGCTTATTTTACATATGTAGCATTTCAACATCTTTGGTGGTGACTTTGACGTCTGTTAATATGTGACCTTTGTCAATTGAGATGCATGTACGTCTAGGTTTCTCTGCATGAACCAGCTCTCCTTCGTGGCATCAGGGATCCCATAATTCTGCTTGGAGAGTTCCCCTACTCTACATGCAAGCAATTACTCATTCCAAATAAGACAATTTATCATAGATAATTAAAAGAAATACACAATATAGTATCCGTGTGCAGTGCATTTTAATTCGCTTACACCAAACTTGGTACTTGGTACTTTGATGAGTAATTCCTTTGGCAGCTCACTCAGGAAGCTAAACTGGGATGGTAGGTGAGGTGATATTACTAGTAATCGTGTGTAGGAATCTCGATATCGCAAGCAGCGAAACTTGATGTCCCATTGGGAACTTGCTCGAGCTTGTCTTCGTTTCTCGGAGAGCGTTCGGGTGAGGGACATTTTTTTATGATGAGCTTTCCATACGAGTAGAGTTTATTGAAGTTCGCCGTATATTGTTGATAATTTCAGACTTAATTGTCGCTCCATCGTAAATGTGAAGTCTACTCTCGGTTATCAAATACAGCTATTATCGGATAAACACCCGATTCAAACATGAGATCAAAATCTCCATGAAAAAGCGGAAGTAGACTATTTGTATTTGTCTTTAAGGATCTTGCTGTCACCTGTAATCGTGTAATCGTGAATACCTGTACTCGTATGACAGCAAAACTATGGCGCTATACTGTAATCATTTGAAATGGTGATCTACTCACAATTAAATTTAGATGCTATAGCACAATAAATATTTCAATAAATAAATTAATTAATCAATTCAAATATAAATAGATTCAAGGGAGTGTAGCATGACGAGACTATGTGTTTTTCCCGTGGCCTGACTCGGGGCCAATCGTGTATAAAACGAATACGGACGACGCGACCGCAGCATTCACGTGCGTGCAACATACGCGAAACCAAGCGCAAAGGAGAAACTCGGTCTGTTTCGCAAACGCTAGCGCGCGCTGACCAAGTAGAGATTAGGTCGCTGACTACGAAGTCCATTCTTTTACGTGCAGTAATTCGAAAGAAGACGTAGATGGCGTTAACAATTGTTTGCCATGCTACACTCTCTTTAATATATAAATAGATAAATAATTATAAACAAGGATAACAAAATGATTAAATAAATCAATAAATCAATTCAACGATAATTCGTTATTGTTCAGGTGTTGATACCAAGTACTTCGAATCTCAAAGACGTATCATCAAATGATGCTAAAGGATGAAACCTGACGTACCGTGCTGTTACTGGCACTGGAAACAGTGTGGTCACATGTGTAGCAGCATCAAAGTGTCTTGCATATGTCTGAAAAATAACGAAAGCAATGGATGATATATATTTCTAAAAATAATCATAATAATTTCTATAACAATAATGAGAATAGTATATAACTAGAAATTTAATTCGTCATGGGGACGAATAAGGTGGTCTTCTTCACTTCTTATGATATATTTCAGAATGGGAGAAGTTATATAGACATGTAAACAATGATGATCATGATGATATTGCTCGCGAAAGACGGGAATGTAAAATCCAGTTTTGAGAAAAAAGGTCATGTTCTGTAGAGAATACACGCAAAATGTAAAAAATTGACATGCCTCCTTTAATCGCAAAGATACGCCATGATGCTTTTGTCAAAATGAAAAATTGTGGTGACTACATTTTGTAGAGATTTGTCTTAGCTAGAAGCTATCAACATTTGGAAGAAAATCGATCAATATTTACAGATATACAATCAATTTTAAATAAAATCGTCCCTATTTTCACGAAGTGACGGTAGTGAGGAAAATCGTCACGCAAAGTGAATGCAATTTTTTTTCATTACCGTCACTTCGTGAAAACAGCGACGAAATATGCTAATGTCATAATATGCAAATTGAAATTTTGAGTTCAGAGGCCATTATGATGACGTCATGAGTTAACTGAGGGTCAAATGAGACATGAAATCATATCTCCAATTCATACTCTATCAAAACATGAAGAAAAAAATTAGGTCCTCTTACATCCTAATGAGCTACAATGCATTTTGTATAGTCATGTTTCTGCCCATATATGCTATGTATTACACGAGCTCGCACGCACGGACATGTATCTTAAACGGACGCTCATTCCGTTATTAATGGTCAGAAAAAAGTGAACAAATATCAAAATGCTTGGAAAAATGTGCAAAATATGATGAAAGAAGAAATTCGATGATTCTATGTTGCGAAATGCCAGGACGCACGAAAACGCGCGCGCACGCGCGTGTGCGAGTTTTTTTTTTTTTGCGAAATGCTTAAAATGGCCTAAAACGTATGCAAACAAATTTGAGACGATTTTGAGCATTTTTTTTTTGCGCGCGCTGAAGCCCGCACGTATGCATGGGCGCGTTTTTTGAACTGAAATTGACCGGACGGATATTGACCTTAATCATGATAAATATGAATAAGAAATGCCTTTCCGTTATAAAAATATAATCATGAGTTGAAAGTACCCCCCCCCCAAAAAAAAAAAAAAAAAAAAAAAATGGCGCCTAGTTGACGTCATGAAGACTTGATGACCTTGAAAAATAATGTTCTTGTCACGTCTCATGACAATGATCTATTGACTGAACTGATCTTGAGTTATCGTCGCAACAAAAAAGGGTGGAGAAATAAAAGTAATTATTACCTAGAAATTTAATTCGTCATGGGGACGAATTAGGTGGTCTGTCTTCAATTCTTATGATCATGCTCATCTTCAATTCAATTACCCAATAAACTGATGTTAATGTAAAATGATGTATTAAGATATGGATTGATGAATGAAGTACTGATGAACTGATAGATGTGAAATGAACTGAATTGATGAGCTAAACGAATAAACTGATGAACTGAACTAAACTGATGAGCTGAACTGATGAACGAAATATTGAGAAATTATCATGATGATGCATGATGTTCATGATCAAATTTAATGCAAAAAAATATCAAAATAAGTAGGCCTAATGAATATGACACAAAGTATTGAGAAATGAACTACTTGATCATGATCATGATTGTCATGATGACGATAATGATAATCATGATGATGATCATGATGATCATGAGCGTGATCCTGACATCTGATTGAAAAAAGTGAGGGATATTTAGATAGCAATAGTCTTAGCTACAACATACTAAAAAATCAACAAAAACCAAGAGGAAAAAACGGCGATATTGCTCGCAAAAGAAAGGAATGTAGAATCCAAATTTGAGAAAAAGTCATCTCCCATAGGGATTACACGCAAAAAGTAATAGATCAAGTGATAATGGGGTAACAATAAAGTAAATATGGTTGTTTATTACATTATTTGCCATTCTACGTATTTTAATGCGAGTTCAAATAGGAAGCTAATGAAGAGATCTAAGAATAGAAGTTATGTGTTCATATTTTCTGGTTTTGGTAATGAGACGGGCTGCCATGTTCTGAATACGTTGGAGTGGAGAAATGGTGGAATCTGGTAAGCCAAAGTATAATCGGTTATACAATAATCTAAATGGGAAGTCACAAACGCGTGGACAGTCAAATCCACATGTTCAAACCAGTTAAAAGTGGGGAAATCGTTGTTCAAAGAGACACATTAAGAGCAGAACGATGGATGATACAGATTCCCCCACCAGATCCAGTGCGACGTGCCTTGTGGACAATCACAAAGTTGGGTAATGTGTAGTTAATGTTCGCAATGGTGTGGTTGTCTTGTGAATCACCCTTTAACTAGGACTCAGTAATGACAAGTAAATCAAGGTTCTTTTCGAGGATTAGATCACAGATACATACAACTTTGTTATTCATGGTTCTAGCATTCCAAAGACCCAAACTTAACGGTGGATCAAGACATGAAATAGTTGCAAGACAGGATAAAGACGTGCAATATAGACGTGCAAAAAATGGTCTAGGAACGTAGCTGTACTTTTCAAGTTTATTGCGAGCTTTCGGCTTGTGAGGCCTTCTTTAGGTTTTGAAGTGAAAACACATACAGAAACAAATATATTGTATGAACAAAAATACATGGCACACAAACTTAATATCACTCAACCATAATCAAGCAGCATGAACATAGCAACAATTAGTACGATAAATAATTCGGAATAAACTTAGAAATGATTATGCAATTTCTTCATGCCTACATTTTCTGGAACACTGGTTGTCATGTCAGAGTTGAGAATTCTTGCACTCATATACATATATATATATATATACATTAACATAGAGTATTGTGAAAGGAGTTAAAAGCTATTCAAACAGGGTAGCAGCCTTGAAAATACAATTGACGGGAAAGGATGAAATGTGCATCATACAAGTCTATGCACCCACAAGTGATTATGATGATATAACAGTGGAGGAATTCTATGAAGATATCAATAAGGCCATTACAGACAATTCGGGTACCTACACAGTACTTATGGGTGACTTCAACGCGAAAATCGGACAACGTGAAAAAGAGGAAGAAAATACCATGGGATCATTCAGCTACGGAGAAAGAAACAGGAGAGGTGAAAGGATGATAGAATTTGCAATGGAACATAAACTTAAAGTGACCAATACATACTTTAAGAAACACACGAGTCGTTACTGGACCTGGGAGAGTCCAAATGGAGTTACTAAAAACCAGATAAATGTTTATACTAAGTAACCAGCGAGGGATAGTCAAGAACTGTGAAGTCATCACCAATGTAGATATTGCAAGTGATCATAGAATGGTCAGAGTCAATATCAGCATCAACAAGAAACTAGCCAGGCTTAGATTCATTAAAAATAATAGGAAGACACGAATTAACATCATGAAGCTGAAGGAAAAGAAAGAAGAATTCCATCTAAAGCTTCACAACCGATTTGATGGGTTAGAGTTGGTGGATATGGATATTGATGAGCGATGCGATATGGTGACATCAGCAATGCTAGAAGAAGCCAAATCTGTAGCCCCAACTGAGAAAAGAAAGATAGTAAGATCGGAAGAAGACAAAGAAATAGAGGAACTAGATCAAAGAAGAAAGGAAATACGACTGAAAGAATCCAAGACAACAACAGAAAAAGTGGAGTATGTAGAAATAGTCAAATTGGTGAAAAAGAAACGACGCCAAAGGAACAGACGAAAAACTTCTAAACTCATTTTAGAAACACTAGAAAGCGGAAGGGGACCAAAAACAATACAAAAGATGGCAAGCAAAAAGTCTAGAATGAGCAAATTGAAGCAAAAAGATGGAAATATAACTTCTGAGAGATCGGAGATACTAGAAATATGCGCCGATTTCTACCAGGAGCTTTATGGTTCAACGAAAAAACAACCGAAAGATCATATAGATACCTCATCCAGAAAATCAGACATACCACCAATACTACAGAGAGAAGTTGAGGAAGCTGTAAACAGTATGAAGGACAACAAGGCACCGGGAAATAAAGAAATAACAAGTGATATTATCAAACATGGAGGGGAGGAGACAATCACACAATTAATGAAACTATTCAACCAGATATTGGAAAAGCAACAGATTCCAACCACTTAGAAAGAGGCAAAAATAATTATTTTATACAAGAAAAGTGACAAAGCTGATGTAAAAAACTATCGCCCTATCAGCCTTCTATCTCATCTGTACAGGATCTTCACCAAAGTAATCCAAAATAGAATCAAATATATATTGGACACAAATCAACCCAGAGAACAAGCAGGGTTTAGAGCTGGATTCTCAACAACAGACCACCTACAAGCTATAAATCAACTCATTGAGAAGGCAAACGAGTACCAACTTCAACTATGCCTCGGATTCGTAGACTACCAGAAGGCGTTTGATTCCATCGAACACACAGACATGTTTGATGCCCTACGAAAGATTAACATTGAAGAAGGGTATGTGCGCATCCTGGAAGATATTTACACCAACGCAGTAGCCAGAATTCACATTGATAATGATGTATCAAGGGAGGTCAAGATCGAGAGGGGAGTCTGACAGGGAGACACATTATCTCCAAATATATTCACAGCTACTATAGAGGAAGTATTTAAAAAGTCGCATTTAAATGGAGGAATAAATATTGATAGGGAAATACTTAATGATCTAAGATTCGCTGATGATGTGGCCTTGATCTCAACATCAACCAAAGACTTGGAAGACCAGCTGACAGGTCTCAACAGGGAGAGCTAACGTTTTGGCCTAACTATGCACAAAGAGAAAACTAAATATATGACTAACTATGACACAGATGAAAACATCTAAATAGAAGGTCGAACGTTAGAGAGAGTGAGCAGTTACAAGTATCTGTGACAAACTTTGAAAATGGAGGACACCACAAAATAAGAAGTTATAATGAGAGTAAAAGCAGGATGGATGAACTTTGGAAGATACAAAGACATGTTGACTGATAAAAACATACCCATGTCACTAAGAATAAGAATGTTCAACCAATGCATTCTAACAACTATCACATATGGATCAGAAACATGGTCATTGACAAAGGATCTAGAACAGAAGCTTGTGACTACTCAACGAGCTATGGAGAGAAAGATGTAGCATTTATCTCTGCGAGACAAAATCAACCACAAAGTCATACGCCAGAAAACAAAAGGTTAAAGACATCATGGAGAAAGTCAGAGAATCAAAGGGTATTTCGTCTCTAAGCATTTTACAAATATTATTACCCCGGTCATCGGATTCATTCACGCACAATGAGCACCATCTCCACTCCCTTCCTACCTCATGGTCACCATGAGGGAAAAGGAAATTACAACCACCCACCCCCTTCCCCCCAAAACTGGTTTTCATCTAGAACAGAGCCTGAGTGTAGTACCTACAGGGTGACACAGGGGGCACGTTGCCCCTTAGTAAAAGGGCAGAATAAAAATAAGAAGGGTTACAAAGAAGGGGGAGAAAGACAACAAGAGAAAGGAGAGAGGAAACGAGTAAAGAGTAGATATATCAACCAACCAGACGCCCATCATTATGATTAAAGACCTCAAATTGCTCTTCATCCACCGGGTGAGTTTATCCCCCCCCCCTCCCCTTAGTGCCCCTTCTATATCTCGATCCATGCTACACCACTGGATGCCTAATTATGTTTATGATGGATATGCATGCCCTGTGCCACACATCATAACGCTTCCGTTCCCGTTTATTCAACAGCAGCCATGAGATATTATCCTGTTTAATTAACTAAATTAACACTTTTAACATGTGAGAGGGGCAATTCATTTGATACTGCGGTCCGTGTCGCCTAATTAGTCTATACATTTTATCTATTATGCTAAACGACCGTCAACGTTGCCATAATAGTATAATGTTAATTTAATCATTTCGTTCTGGTTCTGCATGGATTGGTTTTAGACGTCAACATTTCTTCTATGTAGACATTATAGAAGCCACGTTTTTACGTTAAAATTGTTGGGATCGTAGATTAGGAAGATATAATTATATATATATTTAAAACTAGCTCGTATTATATCTGACGCCTAAATTAAACTTAGCTTTTTCACTGTCCATTATTATACTACATAATAACACTACATGATTGATATAACGGGGAATCGCAGTAAGGATCACAATTGAGAAGGCGTGATGGCTCAGTGGTAGAGCAATAGACTCGTAAGGGGGAGGTTGCGGGTTCAAAACGAAGTCAATGTCCTCTAGCCCTATGGTAAAGCTTTAATCCTCATTACAAAGTCCCTCGGAGGGTACTTAGAGCAGTCGGTCCCCTGCTCGTTTATATGATTTTCTTTAGAAAGATCCACAACTATTATCACGATAGTGTATTAATAATAATAATAATAATAATAATAATACATATGATTTATAAGGCGCCAAATCCACTTGACAGTCAAATGCTCAAGGCGCAGCTTGTGCAAAAGATGAAATACATACATGATACATTTATACAAAGTGCGATAGGAAAGGTACAGACATGAAAGATAATGGTAATCAATTACAAGCTAAATTAAACAGATTAATGTAGATTCTGCATCTGCTGAATCAGGGTCTCTCAAAAATGGAAACACAAGTTTGTCGTAAATTACTTAAGATTTCCAAATTATTTCAGTAGCTTGTACTTAACTGGAAGCTCATTTCCTCTTCTTGTATATGACACCAACACCATGATCACTCATTACCGATTAAAGACCCAACTGTCCAAAATGAGTGAATTTCTGCTACATTTCGTTCATTTTGATTTTTTTGAGAAAAGGAATAGATATGGAATTATTTATCATTGAAAAAAACACCTCTTCCACATAATAATAAACGAGAAATCACACTGGGCCCGAGCAGGCATAATTTGTTATGTGTATGGCAAAATGGCATTTGTTCAAGTGCCTCACTTCATTTCCTGAAATAAAATGGCATGTGCCTTTAAAAGAATTTCTAATTATGCTACCTGCTGACTCATACGTGATCCTTCCTTGCTGATTACGGTATGATATGAAATGGTGGTTAATGGTACTATGTCCCATTTGCAGGTAAACAAATGAAAAGGTTAAATTTCAACGGAATTTAAAAGACAATACTCATTTAGAACTCCCCCCCCCCATATATATAAAGTGGGAAAATAACGACTTTTAGTTGTCGAATCGACTTAAGAGCTATAGAGCCAGTAAGTTATAGTCTGATTTTTCAGACCATTGAACCGAATGGTCGTACGTTTTATGCTGCGCAAAGATTCAATCAGTTTAATGTTGGCCATTACAAGAAGTGGGTTATTGATGTAGAAAAATGCTCGTGTACCCTTTATAGCTCATTTTATGTATGTTATTACCACAGATGAAACAAAAAACCAGTCAGTCACTCACTAGTGTCTGACAGTGAAGTCTAGCAAGTAAACGGGTTTCCTTGCATAATTTGAATATTAGGACACTGCTAGTGTTTAAATTTCACAGACATACATGACATATTCATAATTCCTGCAAAGTTCTACACAATTTGATGTTGGCTGCACAAGGGACATAGTATCTTTAACATTTATTAATTCCACATCAGCATTGAGCCCTCAAGCCCCCTTTGTAGAACGACTAGCGCCGCAGGGACGTGTAGGTAGCATAATACACTTTAGTAAATTACATTTATACATCATATATCACAGTTAAATGGATTCACCGCCCTTTACGTGTACATTCGTCATATATGGGCGGTTTTGTATTACGCAACATAATGCTCCAATACAAATGGGAATGAAATTCAGCCAGCCCGATCAATCGCTTTGCATACAGCGAAGTTTTTTTCCTCAACCCTCTTGCTGATAATATTTGAATTACAGTCGACTTTCTATGTTCGTCCGAATCATGATTTATTATTTATTGTTTCCCTTTAATACTTATTTTTAATTTCTACCCGGTTTTCCGTACGATACATCAAAGGCGGCCTGTGTATATCTAATCAAATTCGATACAATGTTAGATGTGGTATTTCATCCTGTACTGGATGTTTTTCTTTAACATTGACATTGTAGAGGGGATGTGGCGGGGTTTAAGGCAGGCTTACTCAATGTTCTACTCTGCCTGTACACACCTAGCGTATAGGTGTCAGATTCTGACACCTATACAGTCAGAATGCCCCTTCAATGAAATATTCAAAGTAAGTTCCAAACAATGTTTTATTCAGTTTTCTATAAGAAAACAATTTCATAGTACAAACTGCTTGGTTTATCACGTCTATAGATTATGAAGTCAACTGTTACTTGATAATTAAAATCACACTTTTCTTTCTTTCTTTTCTCACATGTTCATCTGAAAGTTTAAGTTGAAATGCCACTAGTTTGCATCAAACATTTTGTGAAAAAAGAATTGTCAAACGTTTGCAAAAGGCAAGTTGAACGGGGGAAGCTTTACAAAAATGGTATGGCACGAAAAAACGAAACCGGAAGGCAAGAAATTTAACTGTTTGGTGATATCGGAACTATTTATTGTTAATCCAGGAGCCTCTTTAGCAATAATACTATTCTTCGTTGCAAAAGACTACCCAAAATGTTACATCTGGATGGAGAGGGAAGTACGCTTTGCCAAAGGAAAATTGAGTGCCAGGCTGGGTCTCGAACCCTCTACGGTTGGTTTGAGAGTTAATTGAATTAACCACTATAATTATCACGACACCGCCTATTATTGAACATAAAATTGTAATTATATTGAATGAATGACATTTGTATAATTATATAATGCCTGGTCACGGTAATAGTGTAATCAACAAGTTGTGATCAATGTCATAATAACATGGTTCTTTTTCAGTGCCATATAAATATGAATTGAAACAAATGCATTTTTTTTGGCTGTAGCGTAATTTTTCGGCTTCATGTCATTTTCCGAAGGTTTGTAATTCCAAAGGCTTATAATTCCCAAGGCTCATATTTCCGAAAATTAAATTGGATTCTTAATTCCGAAAATGACGTAGAACAATATATTGATTATCGGAATTATGGACCTTCATATATTAACGAGACTTTTTCATTTTCAGAATTACACACATTTCCGGGATTTTGCATGCAAATACTACCTGGTTCGGTGCAATAGTAACGCTGGACATCATCAGGAATCTGGAGGTCTGCTGGGAGGTCGGATATTAACCAGTCTAGATCGGATTGCATGGGTTTTGGGATCAATTGTACAGTCTCACCGCTCTCCAAGGTGATCAAAGGACATGACATCGTGGTTATATGAAGACAGACGTCATTTACGTCATGTAATGCTATAATGGAATTGAGTTAAAGAATGAATAAATTCATAAATACATTGATAGATAAACACATATTTAAACGAATTTATAAGTACATAGAATAGATGTTAAAGAATAAACGGTAGGAATTAATGAATGAACAAATAGATAGAAAAATGAACGTTTAAATGAAATCCTCATGAAAAAAAACCAATACATTCCAATAGAGAGAAGAAGCAACACTGGCCATTGGGTGCCAGCATTGTTCTCGAAAGCTCATTTCACGTAGGATATTGGTTACCGAACAAAATGGTCTAATATAATAATGAGTTGTACATGCACAAATATTTAATGCAATTTATACATCACAATGGGGTCGAGCACATAAAATCTTTAAATAGATCTTTAATCTGATCCCCACTCAATTTATGTTACTTGTGGTTCCAACTCCTGATTTGAATATGTCCATCTTTTAATATGTATCACATGCGTTCATACGCAAATGTATGTATATGTATTTTATATATTGAGTGAATAATTGAACTGAATTGAATTAAATTGAAAATTAATTGATTTTGAGCAGCGCTTTGCTCACATTTTAACAATACAACGCTACCTTTGCATCTTGGGTCGAGGAAACCTACATCACAATACTCCCATATTATCCCATGATTGGTGGTGTAACACCAAGCAGTGTCATCATTATCTGGGCTCCTGCAATAGTTGTCGTCTAGTCCCGCGTTAGGAAAGTCAGCTGGAGTATAAACGTGTTGGTGGGGATCCTGAGAGGTCCATGCTTGACAATTATGACCGTTGATTGTCTGAGATAGGTTTCCCCTGTAGTTCACTCCAGTAGAATCTTCTTGACATGCAGGTGTGTCTCGAGAAAAACAGGATAAGGTCTAAACGTTACATAATTAAAACATTAGGATTGCCGCTCTTGAAATGAATACGTAGCAAGATGATACGTAAGCGAAAACAGGCCCAAAGATTACAACTGGCAGTAAGTAGGGGGAGATAGGGTTGGTGGTCTTACCTGATACACTGACTGTCTGAACTCCATTCACTATTACAACGATGGCTGCAATTACATGTAGCTTTAGTATATACCCCATGCTTGAGGGCGTCCTTCCTCCACCAGAGGCAATCCCAAAGATCCTACATGAACTGAAAATGGTGTAATCGATGTAATTTACAAGGTGTCATAGTTTTATGGGTGAGGTGAGACTGGAAAATATGATCACAATATTTAAAATGAACTGATTTTCGAAAGTCGCCACCTTTTTATTTATTAACAGATTTGAGGCACTGCACTAATTTCGTTTCAAACTTAATAGTAGATATCAGCATTAAAGGTGACACTGGCTTAAAAGTTATAAAGCGTTTCAGGAAGCAGTCATTGGTTAACAAAAGCAACGTACTAAACTTTGGTAGCTTATGTTTCAAATATCATGATCAGTCTGAGGTTGAAACCATTTCATGATAAAGAAAAATTGGTCTTTATGTAATGATACCCTATTCGTTTCCATTTTCTAAAATATTAATAGCGAGTGAGGGAAGCAAGCGAACACAAATTAAGAATCTGTTCCGCTTGTTCGTGCAGTGTTGTAGGTCTACAGTTTGGCATATAACTATTATCCATTTCCAATCAGCATTAGGCTAACACGGGACGAACTACACCTCGCGGAGGTTCGATACGGGATGCTGACAATTGGTCGACATACGGGACAATCCCATAAAATACGGTACTGCTGGTTAAAAAATCCTGTATTAATTTAAAATGGACCTTACTCGACGACCTGTTGCTAAGGTCTCACTGCAACCAAAAAAGGAAATTATCCAAAAAAAAGCGATTGACCTGCCCTTGTGAGAGAGTTGTATGGTCCACCAGGTCGAATGCAAAAAAAAAGGTCAAGCATTCATGGGAAGACAAATTGACTGTTATTAGTGGCACAAAATCTGTCATTCTGCAGACGAATAAGTGCATCCTAGTCAATACTTATGTGCGACTCAGTGAAAGGAGTGCATTGGATCAAGAAAATAAATGTGATTGACAGATTTGGAAACCTGATTAGAACAAGCTTTTTCCATAAATTGTTCTAGAAATTTGTGTATTAGAAATCGGTCAATGATTAACATGTATTAAATAACGGAGTAATGACAGAAGATCTTAGTGCCAAAAGAAACTCACCGTAAGACAATGATACATTCATTTTCCATTTCATTTCATTTCATTTATTCAACCATTTAATTTATTCAACTATAAAACGTGATCTTATACAAAGTAATAAAGGTTAGGAGCCCTAAAAAAGCAAGAGCTTGTAAACAGGGCCCCTTGAGCAAATTATACATGCATAAAATACATATTTAATAATACGAATATTTAATCATCAACATACAAACACATAAATACATTTTCACACATACAGCTAAAAGGAAAAAAGAAGATGAAAAAGAGTAAGTAGTAGAAAACAAAGAAGAATTAAAACAGAAAGAGACTTAAATATAAATGCTTATCATGACCACGGAGTGTTGAAGGTAAGAATCTATCAGCCACGTCAACAAAATTAAACAAAGGTAACTCCGCCAGTATGTACTACAATCTTGTCGAAAGAGATTTACAGCAGAGAAAACGTAGTACTACCCCGAATATTCAGTACCGGTTCATCTCATGATTTAAAGACACGTGTTATCAGTGTCTGTAATATGTTAAAGCCCTACAAAGGTTGCGTTTCAAAATGATCATGAAGTGCTTTAAACAATTTTGTTTGAATTACCAGTTTTTAACATACTTATTTCCCCCGATAGACTGTAGTGTTTAATATACAAACCGTTCGGGAAACTAAATTTGATTTCGATTTCCAATTATATTTTTCTTGATAATCAGACAGGCGATCGGCTTGTACAAGTCGTGGGATTCCTGACTGGTCTAAAGGTTTATAATTATCATTGCAGCATGAGCTAAACCCAGGGTTTGTTTCAGAATCTGAGACAATGTTACCGAGTCACTTTAATGTATTGACACGAAAAGAATTTAAGCCCATAGTGTTTGATGAAACGGATGACTTTGTCGTGTGTCATAAATGAAAAGAGAAATTTAAAGTAAGCATGTAGTTTGAAAAAAATGGCAGTAGACCAAAATTATATCTATACATAATTGTAACCCAAACTGTCAGTAGCAGGCAAAATATGCAGATGACGAAATAAAGGTCCATTTGGACTTCGAAAGTGAGAGTTTGATATATGTCTAAGTACTTTCTTTGTAGTAATTTCAACCCGAGGAGGTTGGTTTTATATGAATAGCCCCAGAAAATAATACAATACAATAAATGAGGCAAGGTAATATTATTATAGATAGTGATGAGTATAGTTTGAGGTCGAATATATGTTAATCATGTTATGACACCAATACCGCTTAAAATCTTTGCACAAATAATATTATATATAGGATTTCATGAAAGAAATTCTTCCAAATAGCATTATAATATTAAGAAGGTTAGGTGTCTTACCTTCTAGAGGTGTTTGATAACAACCAGTTCGTCTAAAATTTGAGGATCACTAAAGTATGCAAAGAACACAAGTCCAAGCCCGAGGAATGCAAACTGATACTGATCAGCAAACCAGTCTTCCACCACTCACCGTGTGCATGTTGGCTGGCGTCTCAGAATCAATGTTGGGCGGCGCTGCAACAACACCCACAACATAAGCTACCGACCAATCATCTCGAACGTAGGGATGAATCTCATGCGCAGGCTGTGTTGTTTAGAACCAATAGTCTGGACGACGAGTGAATACTGTATATAGCCGCTCATGTATTTTGTTCGTTACATTCTTTATTCATTCAATATTATATCAGACAGAATGTTTGTTCGGGAAAAGGGACTTGGTAACATTGTTCAGATGAGAGATAGTGGTGCTTAGATAGTGATAGTGACTTCAATGCTAGATGTACAATTAAATATAATCTGAAAGTGAAAACGGATCATTGTTAATGATACAAATTGGGAAAAACTGATCTGATCGAATGGCCATAGGCGCTATCTGAAATATTTGAAATTTACTGGGAACACCGGTAGATCTTTGGTTATTCAATTTCTCGAAAGCAGAAGTGTTTTAGGGGCTAAATTTGTTAGTGCTTTTAATACATCCACAGGGGCATCCAAATGTATCCAAATTGTAAATAATTACTATCCATCCAATTTTCAAAATTTCCCAAAACTTTGCATTACTTGGGTCGGGTAATCATTTGATTTTCGGTTTCATTTTTTCAGGAACGCAAAGTACATATGGATACATATATATGGTTTTGTGCTTGCCCAACAAAGCAACATGTGCATTCTAAATATATATTTAAACATCCATTTGAGCAGGATTGATAAATTACTGTAAAATAGAGTGGATAGAGAATAAAAGAGAGGGGCGGAAAGGAGAGACAGAGAAAAAGAGAGAAAGAGACAGGGAGAGAGTTAGAAAGGGGTAGGGTGGGGGTAGAGATTAACCGAGTTGAATTTGTGAGGAAGTTAGTGAGAGGGAGATAAAGAAAGAGATAAAGGTGAAGGGGAGGAAGAGAGAGAGAGAGAGAAAGAGAGAAAGAAAGAGAAAGAAAGGTAGAGAAAGGAGGGGAGGGAGAGGTAGAGAGAGGGAGAAAGAAAGAGAGAGGGGAGTACGGAGAAAGGGAGTGAGAGAGAGAGAGAGAGTAAGAGAGAAAAGAGGAGGGAGAGCGAGGGGTAGAGAAATGGAAAGGGGGAAATGGGAAAAGTTATGAATCTTTGAAGCGCTACTGGTGTTTACCCTCACCCATATAGGACCTAAAGTATTAAAGGAATTTAAGGTTTGCCCCTCATCTCATTAGGATAATTACTGAATTTAAAAGACCATGTCGTAAGTACAAAGCGAATTGGATGATCAACTGCAAACTAATCAGCCATAGATGACAACAACATCAGTTACATTGTATTTTAATGTCTGTTAGAGGAGTAATAGCTCTTTGAAAATCGAAAGCTTTTGACCTAAAAACAAGTTATCGACTTGATGACAATCATATGTGAAGTACGCATATTCACAGTGACTTATTATTACTTAAGCATCGCTCATGCTCCAGCTATATATATATATACATATATTAGGGACTTTTAGATTTGCACAACGACAACGTGGATTGCTACGATCGATGTCCTTTTAATGCACTGCCTTGAATTGACGTCACACGTATCAGTCCACGCAAATCTTAAAGTCCCTAATATACATACGAGCTGATTCGGTCCACATGTTGTGTCGTCACCGTAACTGCGGCAAATTTGACCCCTGTTGCCCCGTAAATTCGAGGGCTGCGGAAAATAAGGCTTTAATTAGCTTTTGTGCAATGCTAAAAAGTATTTAATATTTTGTTTCAACGTCCATTCAGATTTCCATTGAATCATATAAAGTTGAGTTTTCTTCAGATAGGGTTTTTAATATCTCATAGTAAAATGGAATACAGCTAGACATCTTACACCGCCAAGCAGAAATATGACGTATTGGGCGAAAGACGTTGGTATATCCATGGAAATGCTGAGCAGGTACTAGGATGGCGACCACTTGACATAATAATGGTCAAACCAATCAATTTTCGATGCGATAAGGTTATACAGCGTTAACATTTATTTATATTGAATTGATTATGTTTTGAAAAAGGTAAGAAATCGTAATAATACTCAGCGACCATGAACAGATAGTGTGCGTGTGCATGTGTGTGTGTGTGTGTCTGTGTGTCTGTGTCTGTGTCCGCGTTTACGTGTGAGTGTGTACGGGAACGGGGCGGGAAAGGAGAGGTGTGCATTTGAACGAGCCAAATGTCTTTTTGCAATGACGTGAAATGAAACGTGGTTACAGATAGTACTTTACTAAAAAATAAAACAAATAAGTGTACCCCCCTCTACCCCCCCCCCTCCTAACACACACCCTCACAAGTTCGTTGTCAAAGGCTATTTTAGAAGTTGTTATATTTAAAATGATTTTAGGAGGGTACTTGTTACAGAAAACAATATTTTGACGATGAGAAACAGGTTGCCTCGGGGTCAGTTGGCGGAAAGAAATATGAAATATTGAAACATTGAATTTTGTCATGGTGATACAGAAATGAAGTTGATCAGGGGTAGAGCGATATTAATTTCGTGCATAAACATTCCCCTCGCATCTTATTTGTTTTCTATTTCTCTTTCCCTCTCCCTCTCTTTCCGCTCATCACGTCTCTCTCTATACTCCCTTCCTTACTCTCCTCGCCCTCCTCATCTAGACCTCTCTTTTCTTCCTCTTCTGTCTTCAAATTTCCGTTCTGTTTCTTATGTTCTCCCATCTTATTAAGCCTTCTTTCAAGCACAACAATCTCCCTCTCTCTCTCTCCGTCTCTATCTATACCCCTCTCCTTCTCTCTCTCTCTGTCTCTTTGTCTCGTTGTCTCTCTTTCTCGCTGCCTCTCTGTCTCGCTGCCTCTCTGTCTCGCTGCCTCTCTGTCTCGCTGCCTATCTGTCTCGCTGTCTACTCATCCCCTTTTTGTATTAATGCATGCCTTTGATACAAATAATTCATGTTTGGGAGTGCAATGCACTGCAGCAAGCTATTTTTTTTTCTTTCTGTTTTTATTGTTTTTTCTGAAAAATTAACAGAGTAAAAGCAGCAATATAAAATATAATATCATCTTAAAACTACAAAACAGGCACGCACTCATGCACCCATAAACACACACACACACACACACACGCACACACACACTCACACTCATATACTTTCCCAGAGGGCAAGTTTACAATTCAAAAAGCCAATGAAGATGTTAATGACAACAGAGCTTTGCAAGACTACTCCTAAATTTCAGTTAAACTTGATAGACCATTTCTTAAAATGGACTTGTAACTTATTTTTCTTTTGGGCAATTTATATTCTATTTTTTGTTTGAACTTTACCATTGAAACAAATGCTTCGAAAATAAGTTCTTTTCCCTGAAACCTACATGAGTAAATGTAATATTTTAAACATAAACAGAGAAAAATCTATACAAGAGGCGTATTTGTCCCTTGACTGTATCCCAAACAAAAAAATAAATTTTGACAGAGTCAGATTATAACTGTGATCAGTGCCAGTGTTAATCTTATCCACCAATTTTTCCCACAGTGGTACAACTCTCCTACAGTCACAAAACAAGTGATCTAAAGTTTCTGGAAAATCTGAACAAAAATAACAATTAGCAGACTCCTTTCTCCCAATCTTGAACAAAAATGCATTAAAACCAATAGCATTATGGAAAATTTTGAAGTAAAAACTCCTTAACTGAGTTTCAATTGTGCAACAAAAGTTACTCGTATGAATAATCGACCAATCCTTCTCTTTGGGTTGATGGCCAAAGAGTTCCTCCCATTTACTCTCCCTTTTGGCATTAGTACAACTATATTTCTTTAGCAAAATATTGTATGTATACTTAGACATTTTCTTTTGACTTAATAGATCTTTAAAAATTTGATTAAATATATTCTCATCCACATTAAGAGAATTATCAAACCACTCCAAAAATATGCCATTCATGAGGGAGTCATATTTTCTTTGGTCTCTAATAGGAATGTCAAACTCAATTACGTGGTCTTCAAATGTTTTGGGGTTACCAAAACCATTATGTAATTGAAAAATGGAATGAATACCCCTTTCATACCAAATTGGATAGAAAAAATGTGTTCTATATTGCAATCTTACATTTCTATTCCACCAAATAAAATCTTGTAAATGAAACTGACATAAACCTAGTTTTCTTTTCATCTCTTGCCTATATAAATACCATGTCTTAATAGACGCTGTTAACTGGCAATTTTTAAGTTTTGCCAAAACCGAATCAGGGGCATCTGCCTTAAAAAGGGCAAGATGATCATCACAAAAGGTAGAAAGAATATATATTTCTATTGTTTTCCAACAACTTTCATATGTATCGTCTAAGAGTTTAGCCATCCACAAAACTTTCTACGCTTGTGCAAAAACTAAAGGATTAATCATCCTTAGACCCCCTTCTTCATAATCATTGCATAATATATATCTCTTAACTCTGTCATTGCCATTGCTCCAAATGAATTTAAAAAGCAAACCATTTAATCTTTTAAAGAAAGAGTTTGGCAGGTCAATGCATAATACTGAAAACAAAAATAACATTTGGGGGAGTAAAAGCGACTTTACAACAGCAATTTTGCCCAACAAGGATAGGCTTCTATGCCTCCAACAATTTAAAATCTGTTCTATAATGACAAGTCTGGGAACAAAATTCAGTTCGTAAAGCATTTTTGTGTTCAATGAGAAAACCACTCCTAAAGCCTTACACGTTTTTGATTTCCAATTCAACCCTAATGCATATTGCGGAATAACTGTACTGCCTTTCAGCTTTCCTATATGAATTGCATCTGACTTACTTAAATTAATGCGACAACCTGAAAATTTTGCAAACTGAGTCAACGTTTCAAATAAATGTTTAAAGGAAACTGTTTCCCCATTCAAAAAACAAGTTGTGTCATCTGCAAAAAGACTTATCTTCTGTTCAAAATTGCCAACTGAAATTCCCTTTATCCCTGGATTGTGTCGTACTGAAATAGCCAGAATTTCAATAGCTAGTATAA